CTCGCACGAAAGCTTCGTTTTCACATCTTCCACTTTCACTTTTTCAGGCAAGTCTCGCACGAAAGCTTCGCTTTCACATCTTCCACTTTCAGGCAAGTCTCGCACGAAAGCTTCGTTTTCACATCTTCAGCTTTGTCTTGCACTTTCACTTTTTCAGGCAAGTCTGGCACGAAAGCTTCGTTTTCACATCTTCAGATTTCACTTTTCAAGGGAAGTCTCGCACGAAATGCTCCAGATTTCTGACGCCGTTGCGCGTAGTTCTTTTGTGCTTCGCAACTCAGTCTTTGCAGATCGCATTGTAATGGCTGCGTCAAGGTTGCTTGGAGCCGCGGCTGTGTGCTTAGTACTGTTGGCTTTTTTGCAGTATTGGAGTGGCTGCATCAAGGCTGCAAAAGTGATTTGTCAGCAATTTTTCCCGAGAGCGTCTGAGCGAAGGGTTCGTCTAATAGTGGGGGTCTGTCAAACATTTTCACATCTTCACATCCTCAAATCTTCACATCTTCTCATCTTCACATCTCGTCATATCTCATCTTCACATCTTCTCATCTTCACATCTTCACATTCTCTCTTGCCCTCTTGCTCTCTTGCCCTCTTGCCCTCTTGCTCTGTTGCCCTCTTGCTCTCTCCTTCTTTTCTATTTCTCTTTTGAAGGCGCGGGGCAGTGCCAACGAGACGGCACGAAACGCAACCCTTTCGCACGAAACGAGGCTCGATCGCCAAAAGCTGACGTAAAATTGTGATTTTACAACCTCGGCGGAAATCCTTTCGCACGAAATGAGGTTCGATCGCCAAAAACTGACGTAAAATTGCCATTCTGAGTGTGCTGCGGCAACCCTTTCGCACGAAATGAAGTTCGATCGCCAAAAACTGAGGTAAAATTGCGATTTTGAAATCCGCGGCAACCCTTTCGCACGAAATGAGGTTCGATCGCCAAAAACTGACGTAAAATTGCGATTTTGAGTGTGCACCCCTTTCACACGAAATGAAGTTCGATCGCCAAAAACTGATGTAAATTTGTGATTTTGAGTGTGCCGCGACAACCCTTTCGCACGAAATGAGGTTCGATCGCCAAAAACTGAGGTAAAATTGCGAATTTATAACCTCCGCGGTAACTCTGTGTGTAAACGTGTCTGTGTGTAAAAGTTTCTGTGTGTAAACGTGTCTTTGTGTAAAAGCATCTGTGTAAACGTGTCTATGTGTAAAAGCTTCTGTGCGTAAACGTGTTTGTGTGTAAAAGCTTCTGTGTGTAAACGCGTCTGTGTCTAAAAGCTTCTGTGTGTAAAAGCTTCTGTGTGTAAACGCGTTTGTGTGTAAAAGCTTCTGTGTGTAAACGCGTCTGTGTCTAAAAGTTTCTGTGTGTAAAAGCTTCTGTGTGTAAACGTGTCTCTGTGTGAACGCTGTAAAAGCTTCTGTGTGCAAAAGCTTCTCTATGTAAAAGCGTCTGTGCGTAAAAGCGTCTGTGTGTAAAAGCCTCTGTGTGTGCAAGTGCGTGTGTGTGTGTAAAAGCGTCTGTGTGTAAAAGCGTCTGTGTGTAAAAGCTTCTTTGTGTAAAAGCGTGTGTGTGTAAACGCTTCTCTGTGTAAAAGCATCTGTGCGTAAAAGCGTCTGTGTGTAAAAGCCTCTGTGTGTGAAAGTGTGTGTGTGTGTAAAAGCGTCTGTGTGTAAAAGCGTCTGTGTGTAAAAGCGTCTGTGCGTAGAAGCTTCTTTGTGTAAAAGCGTGTGTGTGTGTAAACGCTTCTGTGTGTAAAAGCGTCTGTGTTTAAAAGCGTCTGTGTGTAAAAGCTTCTGTGTGTCAACGTGTCTGTGTGTAAACGCGTCTGTGTGTAAAAGCGTCTGTGTATAAAAGCGTCTGTGTGTAAAAGCTTCTGTGTGTAAAAGCGTCTGTGTGTAAAAGCTTCTATTTGTAAAAGCTTCTCTGTGTAAAAGCGTTTGTGTGTGAAAGTGTCTGTGTGTAAAAGCGTCTGTGTGTAAAAGTGTCTGTGTGTAAAAGCTTCTGTGTGTGAAAGCTTCTATGTGTAAAAGCGTTTGTATGTAAAAGTGCTTGCGTGTAAAAGTGTCTGCGCGTAAAAGCGTCTGTGTGTAAAGGCGTCTGTGTGTGAAAGCCTATGTGTGTAAAAGCCTATGTGTGTAGAAGCTTTTGTGCGTAAAAGCTTCCGTGTGTAAAAGTGTCTGTGTGTAAGAGCTTCTCTGTGCAAAAGTTTCTGTGTGTAAAAGCGTCTATGTGTAAAAGCGTCTGTGTGTAAAAGTCTCTGTGTGTAAAAGCTTCTGTGTGTAAAAGCTTCTGTGTGCAAAAGCGTCTGTGTGAAAAAGCGTCTGTGTGTGAAAAACCATACGACGGATACGATGCAAACTATTGTCTTGTACTTGTAGTTTATTTTCTTGATACTACTCTTCTCGTCTTTCTATAATACATTTTTAATATATTGTCTTGTAATATAGTGTCTCAATACTAACAACAGAAGACCTTGCTCCTCTACGCTCTCGGGCCATCCGTCGTCTAGTTTCAATTTTGGCGCTGGCGATTTTCCTTTTAAAATTCCTTTAAAAATGGTGCTTCAAATCGTCTTTTTTTTGGCTTTGGCATCGAGATCCGGTTTTGGAGCTGCAATTTCTGACGCCGTTGCGCGTAGTTCTTTTGTGCTTTGCAACTCAGTCTGTGCAAATCGCATTGTAGTGGCTGTGTCAAGATTGCTTGGCGCCGAGGCTGCGTGCGTAATATTATTGTCTTTTATCATAGATCGTATTGGAATGGCTGCATCAAGGCTGCGATAATGATTTGTTAGCAGATTTTTCAATTTTTGCGCTATTGATTTTCCTTTTGAAATTCCTTTTAAAATAGTGCTTCAAAATCGTCTTTTTTTTGCTTTGGAGCTGCAATTTCTGATGCCGTTGCGTGTAGTTCTTTTGCGTTTTGCAGCTCAGTCACTGCAAATCGCATTGTAATGGCTGCGTCGATGCTGCTTGGTGCCTCGGCTGCGTGCGGAATACTATTGTCTTTTGCAGCTGGACATCGTAAATCGTATTGGAGTGGCTGCATCATGGCTGCGATAGTGATTTGTTAGCAGATTTTTCAATTTTGGCGCTATTGATTTTCCTTTTAAAATTCCTTTTCAAATAGTGCTTCAAAATCGTCTTTTTTTTTGCTTTGGCGTCGAGATCCGGTTTTGGAGCTGCAATTTCTGATGCCGTTGCGTGTAGTTCTTTTGCGTTTTGCAGCTCAGTCACTGCAAATCGCATTGTAATGGCTGCGTCGATGCTGCTTGGTGCCTCGGCTGCGTGCGTAATACTATTGTCTTTTGCAGCTGGACATCGTAAATCGTATTGGAGTGGCTGCATCATGGCTGCGATAGTGATTTGTTAGCAGATTTTTTCAATTTTGGCGCTATTGATTTTACTTTTTAAAATTCCTTTTAGAATAGTGCTTCAAAATCGTCTTTTTTTTTGCTTTGGCGTCGAGATCCGGTTTTGGAGCTGCAATTTCTGATGCCGTTGCGTGTAGTTCTTTTGCGTTTTGCAGCTCAGCCACTGCAAATCGCATTGTAATGGCTGCGTCGATGCTGCTTGGTGCCTCGGCTGCGTGCGTAATACTATTGTCTTTTGCAGCTGGACATCGTAAATCGTATTGGAGTGGCTGCATCATGGCTGCGATAGTGATTTGTTAGTGATATTTCTCACTTTAAAGGCTTGCTGTGTGTAAAATCTTCTCTGTGTAAATGCTTCTCCGTGTGAATGTTTCTCTGTGAAAGGGCTTCTCTGTGGAAAAGCTTCTCTGTGTAAAAGCTGGCTGTGTGTAAAGCTTCTGTGTGCAAAAGTTTGCTGCGTGTAAAGCTTCTCTGTGTAAAAGCTTGCTCAAAGCTTGCTCTGTGTAAAAGCTTCTCTGTGATAAGGCGTCGCTGTGTGAAAGCTTGCTGTGTGTAACAGCTCCTGTGTGCAAAAGCTTTTCTGTGTAAAAGCTTCTCTGTGTGAAAGTTTGCTGTGTGTAAAAGCTTCTCTGTGTAAATGCTTCTCTGTGTAAAAGCTTGCTCTGTGTAAAAGCTCCTCTGTGTTAAGGCTTCTCTGTGTGAAAGCTTGCTGTGTGTAAAAGCGTTTGTGTGCAAAAGCTTTTCTGTGTGTAAAAGCTTCTCTGTGAAAGTTTGCTGTGTGTCAAAGTTTCTGTGTAAAAGGTGGCGGTGTGTAAAAGCTCCTGTCTGTACATGCTTCTCTGTGCAAGGGCTTCTCTGTGTAAAAGTTTGCTCTGTGTAAAAGCTTTCTGTGAATAAAAGCTTGCCTAACTTTGTGAAAAAGCCTCTCTGTGTAAAAGCTGTCTGTGTGTAAAAGCTTCTGTGTGTAAAAGCTTCTGTGTGTAAAAGCTTCTCTGTATGAAAGCTTCTCTGTGTAAGGGCTTGCTCTGTGTAAAAGCTGGCCGTGTGTAAAAGTTGGCCGTGTGTAAAAGCTTCTGTGTGTAAAAGTGCCTGTGTAAAAGCATCTGTGTGTAAAAGCGTCTGTGTGTAAAGGCTTCTGTGTGTAAAAGCGTCTGTGTGTAAAAGCTTCTCTGTATGAAAGCTTCTCTGAGATGACATGAGCTGCGAAGAGCTGAGATTTGGTGAAAAAATTCAGAAAACATGAGATGAGTTGAGATGATGGGATGACACAGACTGTGGTGACAGCGGGATGCAGTGAGCAATGTCCAAGAGAAGCTGCGATGCGATGAAATCAGATGAAATTGAGAAAAGGTTCAACATTCGAAAGACATGGCATCAGATTGACAAGTCAAGGGCTTGTTGCTGAGATGCACAGGAGGCTTGCCTGTCACTTATAGGCACAGCCTTTGCTCCGCTCTATAGGCTATAAGCGTTTCAAATTTGAAACTTACGCCCCCGGCTTGCCCGGGAGCTACTTGTATGTATGCGCATACATGATACATACATGTTAACACACCATGTTGTAACTTTGCACGAATTCTGTTTTGACCGTTGTGATCATGACATCTTGGATTTGCTGTTTGATTTCATCACCCTGAGGTCGTTTGACGGTTGTTGGAGTCAGTGGGATGCATCCTGATAGAGTTAAAGAATTCTTGGACGAAGTCGAAGAAAAACCTGCCTTTGTCATCAGCGACTTTACCATCTACGAACCTGGTGGCCCAGATGAAGCACGAAAATTGGTCTCACAGAAGCTCGGTATGGTCACTTGATTCTGTTGTTGGAATCGCGATTCATGCGGCCCAACAGCATTTATGTGATTCTAGACGTCGGCGGGCAATCAATGTCCACGCAAGGATGATTGTGCTGGCCGGCCCAATATGTTTTTTTCAACTGTGGTAATTTGCATTGGATCTCAGAAGCGTTGGACTGATAGGATTAGATGAGAGATTGTATCAAGGCCTTATTGGGCACTTCCCTGGTACCAGTAGACGGGAAGGGAGGAAATAGATATGGTTTCCTGTGAAAGGCATTCTTGTGGGATCCTCGAAATTGAATCGCATCGAATTACGGACGGTCATGGCATGCCATGGCATTGCGACGGCACCTTATATTGTGTTGTACCTTGTATGCACTGCATCCATAACAGGCAAGAGAATGGTGACCCATTTCATGGTCCATCGGAAGATAATCCCAGCAAATTATCCAGATGTTTGAGGGAAGGCATGGTTGGCAAAGATATTTACTAGAGAATCAAAGGTCCTTCCAAAACCTTCAAAATCCTTTCAGCCGTGTTTTTGAACCCCCAAAATCCTGTGGAACAGCCCAGGATGGAAACCCTGCAGGATCTGGGTATCTTCACCATTGCCCAAGGCTTGTCGGAAGCTTGGTCAGTCTTGGTTGTGCCCTACTGAGTTGGTTATGAACTGATTTGGTAGGAGACATTTGTACATACATACCCGGTGTCTTGCTGATAGCCATGGTTTGACCCCTCTATAAATCTACAAATCATGAACCCAATTTTTCTGCATAACTATTTTCCGACTTGCGAACACTTCTTGGAATGCACATCCAAGCACTGCCACCAGGGGACAGTAAAAGACCGTTTCATTGTAGCAGGTGTCCAATACTTCCTGAGTTTCCCCACCATCCACTGAGACAGGGAATAGAAGAAGACCCAGTGACATGCTCTACACTGACCAAACTGGATTCGAAAAGTTGAATGGTTGGTCCCTTTGACTTTGTTGGGGGGACTTTGGCAGGAGATTTTCAGGCAAGTTGTTACTTCCATTGGGTCATCAACCTCGGCGGGTTTGTTGACTCAGTTGCTCCGGAACGGAACAAGTCTTGTGGATATCTGGAACCTCTTGTGGATCCACATATCTTAGTCCCTCGTTTGCACGTTCCGTGCTGGGATGTTAAGCAGGACATTGAGGTTTTACCGGGGGAATTTTGTCGCTTGTGCAACAGGGTGCTAGGTTGTTGCTTTGGCACTTAAACGTACTTAAGCCATTTTAAACCATGGCCAGCTGTTGGGTGCAACTTGGTGCAACTCTGCACCAAATCTTCACTCATCCTGTTTTTAAAGACTCCCCAGAGCACCCGGCATCCTGGTCCTGGTCCTGTCTCCAAGGATGTGGCGCAGGCGCATTCGGTCAACGGACACAGCGCCAGTTCAGCCCAGGTCATCGATCGCTGGTGGCTGCAGCTGGGCGGCTTGCTGTTCGTCGAAGCCTCCGAGATGCAGGATGTATAGGGAATGGTGGACCCCAGAAGTCAATGTGGCCAATAAGATGATGAGTTGTTGCAGGAGAAACCAATCGTATCCAATAGTTGGATACTCGGTCGGGGTATCTCTGGTTTCTGATGTACACAAATAATCTCAGATGAATGAAGGAAGAACGCATTTCTAGGTGGTAAAATGTGGTAATTAACCCAGCATACAACCCCAATAGCAAGGTTGTTTATATCCGTTGACGCCAACTTGTTTTTGACAGGTGAGCCATTTTGGTTCAAAAAATACAATGTCCTCGATACCACCAAATCACCACCGGAACAACGCCAAGACACCACAGAAACACCACGAAAACATGAGCAAGACCCAAAACATCACCGAGCACCGTCAAGACTTACGGACACACCGCCCAAAGTGCCGCCACCAAGACGCCAACGACCACCGAAACACCATTGAGAGACCACCAAGACACCAGCAGGAGGACAGACACCATCAGGACAGACTCCACCATTTCCTGGAAGGACCTGAAAAGGGTTATTCCCAAAAAGTTGCTGCCAACATGCTTTGTCATAATCATCTGTTCCCATCACCATCATCTCAACACCGTCAGTACAAATATCCACCATCATCAGCACACCATCATCAGCACACCATCATCGTCATCATCATCTTCTTCTTTTTCATCATCTTCTTCTCATCATCCTCATCATCATCTTCTTCTTCATCATCATCAGCATCGTCTTCTTCCCCTTCAGCAACCATGCCCGCATCATCACCATCACCATCACCATCAACATCAGCAGCAATAAAAAACAACTAATTGTTTATATTGGAATAATAGTAGTGATCGTTATCTTATGTTCTTATTATTCTTCTTCTTCCTCCTTCTTCTTCTTCAGTATCCTCACTTTAGTACATCTACAGAAATGATGTTCTTCAATACAACTACAAAATGAAATCTATATACACAAGCGTAGATGCAGGTATCAATCTTACTGACAAGTGTTTAGGTGCAGATGTATAGATGCAGGTTCAAGAATCTTCTTTAACACAGCTACCAAACGAATGCATGCAGGTGTATTGCGGAAGATATACAGATGCAGGTGGAGACCGGTGTTTAGAAAACGCCGAGAAGTGCATACACACAGGTGTAAAGTGGCAGATGTAAAGGTGCAGGTGGAGGTCAAGTTATTAAAGACAACTGCAATCTTGATTTTTCTAAATTTTCTCGTAGAGCGCCCGGGCAGCATGGATTGATGTCCACGAAGCGCAACCCTCTCGCACGACATGTCGATCGTCACATTGAAGTCAAATTGCAATGTGGGTTTGTGCTGGGCCAACCCTTTCCCACGAAATGCGTCTCGAATGTCAAAAAGCTGCGGTGAAACCGTGATTTTGCATATGCTGGCTGAACTTTTTTGCGCCATATGCATGTCCGCGGTCAAAAATCAGGAAGTAGTATGTCTGTGCAAAAATGCCCATAGGTAAAAGCTCCTCGTGCAAATGCATTCCTTTGTAACAGCGCCTCTCTTTGTTTTGGCATCTGTGAATAATTTTGCTCAATGTAAAATCATCTCTCTGTAAAAGTATTTGTATGTAAAGATATGTAAAAGTCATCTCTGCGTGTGTGAAAGCATCCCTGTGCAAAAGCATCTGTACTGCAGATCCGCGGAGGAACAGAAGATGAATGAGCTGCAAGAAGAAAATTTCCGCCACCAACAGGCACAAGACGCGATCCTGTGCAGGGAGACCTTGATCTTGGACAGTGGCCATGTGGGCAGCGAGCTAGCTAACAGCTGCGCTGCGGCCATGAACGAGCGAATAAGTTTGCAGAACCCGGCGCCATGGATGAATTGGAACAGCCCATGCAGGCAATTCTGCTGTGTTTCTATTGGAAGTTGTGGATTGGCACCTGGCACAAACACGGTCGACAGGATGGTCCAGCTGGTAAAGCAGACGGGATTCAAATATACCATTATGAAATCATTATGAGTCTTTCTGGGACCGTCAGGGGTTTGTCCGGCTGCGGGGAGTGGACAACAAAGGCTGGTGGGACCGCTGTGAGGACCCAATTCAAGCTTTGCTGCGTGGATATTGCAGGGAGGCCGGATGTTTGATGCCCTTCGGCAAAAGGCTAGAAGAAGGAGCCGAAGGAGAGGAAAAGCAGTCATTGGTTTGAATCGGACCTGCGCACGTTGCAGCGCATCGTTCGCCTGGCCAAAATGATGGACATTCCAGAATGATACCCTAATGGCAACAGTTACCCATTGTCAGGGTCCATGCTTCCATGCTGTATACATCTCAAGAGTTCTTTCCCTTTCTAGCAGCGTCAGGCTTCTGATGCAGACCGGTTTATCACTATTGCCGAAAGCTTGGGAACGTGCTGTGAAGCCGCAGGTGCACGAGGAATTGCAGGGCATTAGTGCAACAACTTTGTGATAAGTTGGTGTGTGCGAAAAAGGCCAAGCATGGAGATTGGCGGCTCTGGGCCCCATTCTGGAAGACAGACCAGAAATTCTTCAGTTTTTCTCAGACTGGTGGCGGATGGCTCATGTTGGTTAGTGACTAGTGGGTTTCAAGATGCTCGTGCACAATGTTGCCAGCACTTCAAACAGCATTGGACACTTGCAGTTGCAGCAGTTGGCTATGTTCTGGGCAATTTGGCCCTTTGGCAGGGACTGCCAGGACGTCTTTCTTGTCATCGTCCAGCGTCGAGACATCATGTCTTGGAAGCTATGTTTCTGAGAGGTCCTTCAGAGAAAAGTTTTGAAGAAGCATCCCTTTGTAAATCATCTCTCTGCGTAAAACCATCTCTGTCTGAAGGCCCCTCCCCGTGTAGAAGCACTTGTATTATGTAAAAGCATCTCTCTGTTAAAACATATTGGATGGAAACCTGATTCCAAAATGGCTTGATTCCTCCCCCAAATCGTGCTTCCAGCCTCTTGCCTAGATGCGTCCTAGTTCAAAGCACCTGTGTGTAAAAGCATCTCTCCGTAAAAGTATCCGTGCAAAAATACTTGTTTGTAAAAGTAACTGTGTGTAAAAAAGCCTTTTCGTACAAATGTACTGTATTTCTGTTTGAAAAAGAATCTCCGCGGAAGAGTATTTACTGTAAAAGCTTCTGCGTGTAGAGGCTGCTTTGTGTCAAAAGAAGCCCTGTGTAAAAGCGTGTAAAAGCATTCCTCTGGAGCAGCATCCCTGCGTGAAGGCATCTGTATGTAGAAGTACTCGCGCGCCTGTGTGTAAAAGGTCTTTGTGTCAAAGTATCCCTGTGCAAAAACACTTGTGCGTGAAGGTATTTGTGTGTAAAACCATCTCTGGGGAAAACGTCTGTGTAAAAACATGTCTTTGTGAAAGCACCTCTTGTGTGAAAGTATCTGTGTACAACATTTAGGCTGTTAAAATCTCTAAGCTGCGTAGTATTCACCGCAAATTGCTCGAAATTTGCAGCAGTTTGCAGCTAGCACCTCACACTGCCTGGTATGATGCAACATCAGTTCACTGCACAGAGCTTTGCCATCGGGCTATATTTGCATAATATTTGCAAGATTTAGAATCATATCTGACAACTGCGTTGTGATTTCACAGCGCTCTGAAGTAAAAAAACTGTACACTGTAGAATGCCTGCAGCATTTAGGAACCAAAAAACTATTACTCGCACAGTATGTGCGCATACTGGGGCAAAATTAGTGCATCGCATAGTCTTTGCAAGATTTTGCAACTATCACTGGTAAACCGCATGGCATGTGCAGCATTTTGAAGTTGATGCCTGTAAATTGGATGCTATCTTTCCGACTGTCTGAAGCTCAAACCTGCAAGTGGACGGTATTCGCAACATCTTGAAGTTATCATCTGCACATTGCACATAGTGGCATGGTGTTTGCAGCGTGTTGTGGCTAAAATCTGTAAACTGCACGGTCCTTGCCACCTTTTGAAACCAACACTTGCAAATTGCTTGGGGCCTGCAACTCGCTGAAAGTAACATGTGCAAATTGGAAAATGCACGCGGCATTTTGGAGCTAGGCCTTCCTTCCTTCCCTCCCTCCCTCGTTCTTTCCCTTCCTCCTGTAGAGATTATTTCCTTCTTTCCTGTTGGTTTTTTATTCTAGTACCTCTTTCCTTTGATAAATTTGCGCGAAGGTTTCGGTGCAAGCGTAGCATGCAGCAGGTATGTCAGCTCCTCTGGTGAGCTGAGCAGCCCACTGCCTTGGTTGCTGAGTGGCATGAAGGAATGTTCGCAGTTGCTTCGGTAGAAGCATCATAGTAATTAAGTATGTTACTTCCTAACATACGCCAACATCCATCCCTCCCCCCGCTTCAACCCCAACCTGCAAGGTCGTCGTCATCGCTACCGTCGTCGTCATCGTGATGGTCATCGCCATCATCGTCATCGTCACCGATATCATCATCATCATCATCGTCATCATCATCATCACCACCTTCATCATCACCATCATCATCATCATCATCATCACCATCATCCTCTTGCTCATTATCACCGTCATCTTCGGCAATCATCATGGTCAGAATGACAACAGCAGAGACACAACCAAGGACCACCAACACAACCGCCCCGACAGCACCAACACGGTGCCACCAAGATACGACCAAGACACCGTGAACACCTTGTGTCAGCATGGAAGTCGCTGAGACACCACCGAGGCACCGCCTCGACACCATGAAGGCAACGAGACACCATCAAAAGAGCACAATGCAATGCAGACACCTTTCAGACGCCCCCCGCCCCCGAGAAACTACCAAGACATCACAGAGACACCACCGAGACACTACAGAGACACCACCGAGACATCGCCAAGACATCAGCGACACACCACCAAGATACAACTCAGACACCACCAAGACAACCACCAAGACCAGGGACACCACCGAGACATCAGCAAGACACCGCCAAGAGACACCAGCGACACACCACCAAGAGACAACCAAGACACAAGCAAGACACCACCGAGACATCATCGAGACACCACCGAGACACCAGCGAGACACCACCGAGACCAGAGAGACACCACCGAGACATCATCGAAACACCACCAAGAGACACCAGCGACACACCACCAAGAGACAACTCAGACACCACCAAGACACCACCGAGACAACACCGAGACACCACTGAGACACCACCTAAAGACACCAGCAACACACCACTAAGAGACAAACGAGGCACCACCACGACACCACCGAGACACCAACTAGAGTTAACTAGAGACACCAACTAGAAACAACCGAGACACCACCCAGAGACAACCGAGACACCACCGAGACACCACCAAGAGACACCACCAAGAGACACCACCAAGAGACACCACCAAGAGACACGAGCAACACACCACCAAGAGACAACTCAGACACCACCAAGACACGACCGAGACAACACCGAGACACCACTGAGACACCACCAAGACACGACCGAGACAACACCGAGACACCACTGAGACACCACCTGGAGACACCACCGAGACACCACCGAGACACCACCGAGACACCACGGACACCGAGACACCACAGACACCGAGACACCACGGACACCGAGACATCACCAAGACACCACCGAGACACCACCGAGACACCACCGAGACATCACCGAGACACCACGGACACCGAGACACCACCGAGACACCACCGAGACACCACCGAGACACAACCGAGACACCACCGAGACACCACCGAGACACCACGACCGAGACACCACCGAGACACCGGCCGGCAACCGCGAACCCGACGGCGCCCATCCGCCTTTAGAGTTAACAACCCCAAGTTTATCGCTATTGGGGAAAAATCAGATGCCAAGTCTGAGATTGTCCGACCTGAAAGCGGCACCAAAGATGGAAACACAAGCACAAATGGAAGTTTGCATCGTTTACATGCAACGGTTGGCCCAGTTCTCTCCTGTCCTTTTCAAAATTTGTAGTGCAATTGGATGTCCAATTTTTTGGGGTGACATCAATTCCATTCATTCCATCTCATTCCATCTCTCCACCAGGAGCATCTGGGTGCATTTGAGTTCTCCCTAGAGGACCCAGCAATGCGTTTGCTGAATGGTTTGAGCTCTTTGGTGGCCTCCTCCCCTGGACGCCGTGCGCCTTACTGGTGTGAGGATGTCTATCGCTTGTCAGACCTACCACTGGAGAGCTGAGAAAAAGAGAGCGAAATGACCGGTTGGATTGCTTGAAGAGTCTGTTCTGTGGTGACAGTATGTGAATGCTATCTATAAGATTCTACAAGATCTATAAGGTAATGCGTGCTGCTACAACCGTATAGTCCTGTGGGTCACATAGCGGACTTAATATGCATAGAGAGAGAGAGGGAGGCATATATAACCACATGTCAGTGAGAAGGAAAGACGATCCCATTTGAGCTTGTTTGGGCATTGGAGAGTCAGATTGACTGCCGCTGGTCCCTGTATTTGGTGAGTTGGCATTGTGCTGCGGATACTTGCGGGTGATGTTCAACAAAGAAGCATGGTTTCACCGTTTCGGGATTTTGAAACGGGTCAGACTTAAGACCCCGACAATTTCGGCCATGGCTAGCATGACAGTACAATTAATCGAGGTGTTGGTCAAGCCTATCGACCCATTGTTATATTATATTTGTAAATATTGTATAAGACTCACATTCACCTCGCATGATGTTATTGCTGCTAATGCTATCCATTGTCCCCATGGACTCACTGAGTGTTGGTATTATCTCACATCCAAACCCATGATGTTCCTGTCAGTTTCCCGTCGCAGATCCAGCGAAACGTTCCAAGGCGAAGAAGGATCGACCCATTGTCATGGCATCCGTGGGGGACACAGCCGAGTTTGGCTACAAGATGCAGGTTGTTTCCCGGTCTGCGATGGGTGGAAGCCAGTTGGTCCACATGTGGTCTAAAACGGAAGGGGTTTGTGCCTCAGAGTGAAGTAAGAGTCACGAAAGACCATCCCAGACCCAAAGATGTTGGGGCAAATTTGTGTCATTTTCTTGATATTTGCTTATGCATTGCGCATCTACAATATTTCCCTTTTCAAGTAAATGAATTGGGGAATCATGTGACTATGATTGATGTTCCTTTTAGCCCTCCTGTTTGATGCTGCGTCCTTCCAGTCAGATTTCGACCTCCACAGGCACATGAGCCTGATGCTTCCGTGCGCCTGGAATCAGGACAGTTGGACACTTCCGCCACAATGGGTTTAAACTTGTTGTCGTATGATGCCTCCTAGTCATGAAACCCAAAGGTCTAACGTCTCTTGAAGGCTGATACATCTCCTTGGGATTGGCTATTGGAAAAGGTTCTGAGAGGGGGTCAAAAAAATGTTGACAACCCTATCAACCCATCCTGGGGTCCTCAAAATCTACGATGTTCATTTCCCAAACCGGCATAGGAGAACAATACGATCACTTGGGCATGATACTGTAGTGTCACTTTGGGTAGTTTTGGGAAACTCATGACTTTAAGAGATACCATTTCCACACCTTTTCCTGATAGGTTGCTGGTAGTTGCAAGATGTTGCTGGTGTTTTTCTATTCTTGTCGCCATTTAGATGATCAAATGGATCCAACCTTCTTTCCCATTGCAGGGGACGTCATCATTTTCGGCGGCCCGGCGCGCGACCTAATCCATGCCCTGTTGCGAGTATATCCTGGCACTGCACCAGAAGCTGCTCGGCGATGACGTGCTGATTCAGTATGATTTTGCTTTGAACCGCGAGGGAAAGGAACAAACCCACATGGAAAATCATTGGACATGATGGAAATTTCCATGCTAAAATTGGATAAATGTTGGATACGCCCAAAATGACCCAAAATAGGGTGCGCATTGTTTTGTCGTTTCGATCCAGTGGCTATTGTCCGGTTTCATCATACACTGTCATCTCCTCTTACTCAAGCTTCCAACTTTCGCTCAAAAGCCTGCACACCATTTGCAGTTGAAGCACCGCCCATGTATAGTTCTGTTAGCAACTTGAAATGCCCAGATGGCTACCCCATAATTTTTGAAAACAAATGATTCCTTGACCAAAGGTCACCATGTTTGTACAGGGGTCTATCTAGCTAGCGCAGCTATTGCTCCTAATCGGTTTATGCAAAAATGTGCAGAACATCACCAAATGTGTATAATATTTGATTTGATGGTCTAAACATATCTAAACTATAGTTTCCACCAACCAAAATCCCTCAGACCAACCGAATGATGTTGGGAATCCCTGTGGCTCGCTTAGGCTTTGCGTTGGGATCCCCATCTCAAAGCAGGTGGGCATCGGGTGAGCATCACTTGGCGCGATGTGGGGGTGGAAGATGGGCTCACCTTCAATAGCGATGAGCGCCTGGGATTGACTCTTGGCACCACCAGCGGAAAACTAGGGGATTGCGCCGGAGAAAATTGGAAATAATAGGATTAATGTATATTATGTATATCATAGTATCTACATATATATATATATGTTTGTGTGTGATATGATATGATTTTATATGATATGCATTTTGGTGATTTAAGAATCTTTAACAATATCTCAAAAATGGGGATGGATCATTGTCCAAACTGAAAATGAGTATGAACCTCAAGAGAAACAAAGATTTGGCCTGTCGACGTTTTTGATCCGACATGGCGGATGATGGTTTCTTGATAGTACCTGTTTCCCAAGCAGACATCGGCGGATCTAAGGACTGTGACCGAAAACACGCTGCCCAGATATTTGCCCCACAGGAGCTGTGCCCGGAAGGGATTGGCAACATAGGACGAAATTTGATGAAATTTGGGTGCGGCCTTCAAGGATACCATTGGCGAACATAACACACAGTCACGTCATTGTTCGGTCGATGCTTCAGGAGCAAAGGTGGGAAGAGCCGTGGCAAGGGCTACAGGACCATTGGCACTACGTGCAAAT